TTTGATTACTCTCCTTGAGAAGACTCTGAGAGAAAAGGTCCTTCTTTTTGACAACTAAAAAAAGGAAAGTCTAGCCATCATTTGCTCCAAAAGAATGTGACCGGGGAGAATGTGACTTCAATACTGGTTTTAAACTGCATTAAATCACTAATATAGATGGGACCATTACTTTTGCTATTTTATATAAGGGACACATTTTTATATATAATGGCACATGAGCCTCCAAGGACTTTCTAAAGGAGATCCTGGACCCAAACGCCAATTAATATCAAGGGCCCACTGCATATTAGATTGGGAAATGTGTGACTGTCTAAATGTTATTGAACTTCAACTCTCAGCTATGCTTGCTAGGGATGATGAGATTTGCAACTCAACACACACTTTCTATTCCTGCAATATATGTACTAACCAGGAAGAATATGATTTACGCTCTGAACAGGCATTCATAGATGCAAATTCATTTTTAAATCTTGCAAAATGTCAATTTTGATATTATTTGTAGTACCAGTTAGTCCCTAAGAATTACATTAAATCCAATATCAGTATCTAATAATTTAGAACGATTTTTGACTAATGCCTAATTACTGAAAGGAAAGGCAACATATCTGGGCTTAATTTTCTTTTATGTGCAAAACACGTTCACCACAATCTGCCTCAGGATTACTTTTTCACTTCTTTTGTCAATCTTTTTTAGCAACCATGGGAGACCATCCAAAGCTATAGTAATTAGTTCCTGTTCTGTTCCAGGAGGTAACCTAAGTTTCTTTTCTTTTCAGGGAGTCAGAGTTTCATCCATGCTAATTAGGCAGGCAATAATATATTGCAAACTGCTTTTTAACTCATGTTATGAACTCAGTTTTTGGAAGTAAGACCATTCTTCATTCCCAAACAGATAAGGTCACATTGAAGTAGCAGAGAGGTTACCTCTTGGACCATCTGCATGACACATAGAACAATCTGGTGGCTTTTTTGTTCTTGCTTTGCATCTTCTGCTCTAGCTGCAAAGTTTTGTTATTTGTACTTGGATCTCACCAGCACCATTTCAGCGGAGAAGCAATCCCTGCATTACTCTGCCTGAGGCCAGCCTGGACAAACTCCCACAATAAGAACACATGTTGGCCAATCTGTTCTTCCCTTTCCTCCTTCTGTGACTAAGACATGAATATGTATATTCTGGCTCATGAGTAGCTAAGAAGAAGATGGATATCTTTGTCACAGTGGCACCAATGGGTCATTTCTGCCCATGATTTAGTCTATCAAAGGTTCTTTGTGGTCTGATACAATCAGATCCTTCATTTAGCTAGTGAAAAAGTAGTGCTAATTCAGTTTGATTACGCATATTTATTTACTTTTCTTTTTTTAAAAAGGGCAGTGTTTGATTGTATTTTATAAAATGCCACAATGTAACATGATACAAAAACATGTACTTTGAGCTTTTCCTGCATGGCAGAGGGATGGTCTAGATAGCTGAGATGGTCTGTTCCAACCTATGATTCTAGGATTCTATGCTTTTTATGGATCTTTAAGCCATCAAATGCTGTTACTGGTTGAATATGATGTGCTTTTGAATAGAAAGGGGCCAGTATGGTATAGTGGTTTGACACCAAGAGAACAGCCATCTCATTACGCTTAAATCCCACCCCCTCGTCCCCCATAAATTTGCTGGGAGTCACAGCTGGCATCAGATGACTTCCGGTTGTCACTGCTCCCCCCCCCCCAAATCACAGAACTACAGAGTAATCATGGAGAGCAATGAGGAGAGCAATGATCAATCTCGATAAAATAGTGAAGAGTAGAGACATCACACTGGCAACAAAGATCTGCATAGTTAAAGCAATGGTATTCCCCGTACTAACCTACAGATGTGAGAGCTGGACCATAAGGAAGACTGAGAAAAATAAGATAGATGCTTTTGAACTGTGTTGTTGGAGGAAAGTTCTGAGAGTGCCTTGGACTGCGAGAAGATCCAGTCCATACTTCAGGAAATAAAGCCCGACTGCTCATTGGAGGGAAGGATATTAGAGGCAAAGATGAAGTACTTTGGCCACATCATGAGAAGACAAGAAAGCTTAGAGAAGACAATGATGCTTGGGAAAATGGAAGGAAAAAGCAAGAGGGGCTGACCCAGAGCAAGATGGATGGATGGAATCCTTGAAGTGACTAGCTTGACTCTGAAAGAGCTGAAGGTGGTGATGGTTGACAGGGAGCTCTAGCATGGGCTGGTCCATGGTCATGAAGAGTCCAAAGTGACTGAACGAATAAACAACAACACAACCATGGGGAGAAATTATGAATTTAGCCAAGATAGTGCTAAGGACCTGTTATTTTGGCTCAAAACAACATGTGATGGGGTCCATGATAGTCTCTGTTGTGTTTCAGAGCTTGCCATGGTGCTTAGCAGTAAGCTTTCCTTAGCAGTGAGCTGTCATCCCTTTTACAGAAGTGCATAATAACTCATTTCCTTCACACATTTCTTTATTGTTATTATTATTATTATTATTATTATTATTATTGACAGATATAGCGCAATAGAGGCATTGTAGAATAGTGAACAGGCAGTTTTTCTTTGCTGATTTGTTCCGATTATAACATTGTACTTAGCAGAGAACTGTCATCCCTGTTTATAGAAATGCCTGATTATTCCTTCCTATGGAAAGAAGTGGTTTAAAATGGCATCCCTGTCTTAAGGGTCCAATGGGTTTAGATGCAGAACTATTGCATCCCATGGAAAGGGATTCTGGCAGATTTGCATGAAGAAAACAGTGGGGATGGAGACATGTGTGATGACGAAGATAGCGGGTGCCTACGGGAAAGCACTAAAAATTAGATGAGAGGATCATGAAAGAAAAAGAGTGAGGGAGGAAGGTACGATCAACTCCCGATTCTTCTCTTTACTTAACTTAATGATGTCTGTCAATACTGTTGTCTGATTAGGTCCCAGGACTTGAATTCCTGCTCAGCCATGGAAACCCACTGGGCAAGTCACATTCTCTCAACCTGAGAGGAAGGTAACCCTCTCTGAACAAACTTTGCAAAGAAAATTCTGTGATAGGTAATAGTCAAATTGAAGACACATAATAACAATAATATTTGAGCAGACATATGTAGGATTGCACCACTGATATACCAAAACAGTTATTGCAAAATAGATTAAGGTAACAGTTACATGTATCATGCTATTATTATTTATCATTGTTGATATTCCACATTAAAAAGCACATGTACATTATTGCAAAATTAAAGCATTCTTGTACACAACTCATATATTACATTGCATGTGGTATGCACAATACTGGATGAGCAAATATTATTTTTTTAGTATAACATTTCTAAATTGTTGCTCAAATAGGCATTTATGCACAAGTGCTGTAAGAATGGATTTTCCCCACAGGATAAGTGTGGCCACTCAAAATAAAGACAGGTCTGACCACGTTTTTTCAGAGCAAACTAAAAAAAGTTTGGGAAGTCACTAATATTAAAAAGTATTAGGCACTGATAACATAGGAGCCCCTGGGATGAAACAGGTTAAACCACTGAGCTGCTGAACTTGTTAACCCAAAGGTTGGCAGTTCGAATCTGGGGAGTGGGGTGAGCACTCACTGTTAGCCCCAGCTTCTGCCGACCTGGGAGTTCGAAAACATGCAAATGCCAGTAGATCAATAGGCACCGCTCTGGCGGGAAGGTAACAATGCTCCATGCAGTCATGCCAGCCACATGACCTTGGAGGCATCTACAGATAATGCAGGCTCTTCGGCTTAGAAATGGAGATGAGCACCAACCCCCAGAGTCGGACATGACTAGACTTAATGTCAAAGGAAAACCTTTACCTTTACTAATGGACAAAACACCAAATATTGTGTGATATTTTGACCCACTAACACTGCTTTTTGACGTACTGCTGTCAATTGCTGATTTGTCATTTTGTAAATTTTTTTTAACAAACAAGAAAACATTTTATTTATTTTATATGCTTCCAATGTCTACCAAGAGTATATTATTAAATCATTTTTTTTTACAACCATACATGTCAGCTCAGAATCACAAGACAGGGACTCAAAACAGATGGATTTGCAGCACACTTTTCTCAAACTAAAGTACCCATCCAATGAGGTGAAAAAAGAAAACTGATAAGGCAAGACTAGAACAATATTTTACAAGGCAGGCCGCAAACAGAATTATCACTGTTGAGGCTACTCGAAATCATTCCCAATAAACTACAACCAATTTGGACAACAACACTGTCTGCTCACAGGCTCTCTGTAGCATGCCTTTAGATGGTTCTCCAGACCAACAGGACTCTCCAAATCAATATGGATGGAAGTATTGAATCGAGACCACATTATAAACTCAAAGGCCATCTCTGTCAATCCATGTGCTTTGACAGCACCATCCTAGGCACTAATAATGTCACCTGCAACATTAGAGGTGTATTGCTCATTTTCCGGTGTGATATATGCCATCCTCTAGCAGCAATGCCTCCTGAGTGCACTTTATGCAGGATGTTCTCAGTGCAAACGAATAGACAGCAATTTAACACAAGCAAGTTAGAAATGGCAGTGCCTGAGAATCAGAGCCAGAATACTTTTAGACTGCCAAGGTACAGAATCACTGATCTCTAAGTAAATGTTCTGGAACAAATGAATTTGAAGGGAAGATTGGAAATATCAAGAGCTGAATTGGGATATATTTACAAATTCCAGTCTATTAGTAGAGATTTAAAAAGAAATAATGGGGATTTTTTGTACTCTACACATATTATAATATGATTTTTTTCCCCATCACATTTCTACATGTAGCACTCACACCTTTGGAAAAATCTCCGACTTCAACAGAATTAAACTTCCACAAAATAGAAGTTATTGCTTTGATATTTCAGAGGCAACTAAAAAAAACAGACTGTCAGTCTTACACCTCTCTCTGAAGATTTATGCTCAGCATCACAACATCTTCTAGCAGTCTATTTCACTCTGATCTTAGCCCTAAAGTAAGTTGTTACTTACTGACTGTTCTTTAATGATCTTCTGAATCTCCCTATGGCCATGCTTTTCAGCAAGAAGTGCTGGATTTTCTCCATATTTGTTGTTTAAGCTGCAAGCTAGGATTGCCTCAGGACATTGAAGGAGAAGAGCAGCAAGCTTCTTTAACCCAAATTTTGCTGCACAGTGGAGAAGAGTGGGAAGCTCTTCTGAATGTGAGTCTATATTGTGGGGAGAAGAAAAGACACATGTGCAAATATATCAGTTTTACAAGTCTGAAGTTGCTATTACTACACTGAGACCATTGGGAAGACTAAATATGAATGGAAGATCTACATGGGGTGGTAGAGAAAACACACAGAGAAATTGATGGTTGCACGTTTTTCGGGCTGTATGCCCATCTTCCAGAAGCATTCTCTCCTGGTTTATTTTATTTATCGTATCAGGAACAAACCAATGTATTTGAGAAAACACAAAGTTTAAAAACTTGGCATTCTATTAAATGTCCTTTGGTCAGTAGCTGGCCACTTGAAGTGCCTCTGGTGTTGCTATAAGAAGGTCCTCCATTGTGCATGTGGCAGGGCTCAGGTTGCATTGTAGTAGGTGGTCTGTGGTTTGCTCCACTCCACACTCGCATGTTGTGGATTCCACTTTGTAGCCCCATGTCTTAAGGTTGGCTCTGCATCTTGCGGTGCCAGAGCACAATCTGTTTAGCACCCTCCAGTTGCGCAGTCTTCCATGTGTACAGGAGGGAGTCTCTCATTTGGTATCAGACATGGATTGAGATGTTGGGTGTTAGCCTGCCATTTTTGGACTCTCGCTTGCTGAGGTGTCCCTGCAAGTATATCTGTAGATCTTAGAAAACTATTTCTTGATTTAAGGCCTTGGTGTGCTGGCTGATATCCGAACAGGGGATGGGCCAGAGATGTCACTACCTTGGTCCTTTCATTATTGGCTGCTACTTCCCGGTGGATGTCAGGTGGTGAAATACCAGCTAGACAGTGTAATTTCTCCAGTGGTGTAGGGCGCAGACAGCCTGTAATGCAGCATGTCTCATTAAAAGCCACATCCACTGTTTTAGCATGGTGAGGTGTGTTCCACACTGGGCATGTGTACACGGCAGCAGAGTAGCAAAGTGCAAGGGCAGATGTCTTCACTGTATCAGGTTGTGCCAGTCAGCTTTCATATGATATTGTTTCTAGCACCAACTTTCTGCTTGGTATTCAGGCAGTGCTTCTTGTAGGTCAGAGCACAGTCCAGCGTAACTCCCAGATATTTGGGTGTGCTGCAGTGCTCCAGTGAGATTCCTTCCCAGGTAATCCTCAGAGCTTGAGATGCTCTTCTGTTCTTAAAATGAAAAGCACATGTCTGTGTCTTAGATGGATTAGGAATCAGCTGGTTTTCCCTGTAATGGGCAGCAAGAGCACCTAAAGCTTTGGAGAGCTTCTGTTCAACCATCTCAAAGCTCCCTGCTTGAGCGGTGATGGCATGATTGTCATTATCTCCTGATGTTTTTCCTGCATCTATGGCAGGCATCCTCAGAGGTTGTGAGGTCTGTTGGAAACTAGGAAAATGGGGTTTATATATCTGTGGAATATCCGAGGTGGGAAATAGAACTCTTGTCTGTTGAAGGTAGGTGTGAATGTTTCAGTTGGCCACCTTAATTAGCATTTAATGGCCTAGCAGTTTTCAAAATGTGACTTCTTACTGCCTAGGGGAATCCTTTGTTGAGAGGTGATTAGCTGTTCCTGATTTTTTCTTGTCTGGAGACAAAAGGTATTTTGTGAACACAATAATTTCCCCCCAAAATGAACTGAATTATTTTCACCCCCCCCCCAAAAAAAAGGAATTCTTGCACACACGCTACAGTCTGTACTATCATCAAAATGTACACAACACTGCTGTAATCCCATTTACTGGGAGAAAATATTTGAAATTCTCAATCTTGTGCATTGGAAGTAAATAAAAAAATGCATCTCAACGAAAGTCTGGAGATGAGAAACAGAGCAAGCCCATAGGTTCTTTGCCAGAAGCCGATTGCCTGATAGCCATCTACTACTGTATTTCAGAATGGGAATTCTCTTGAGACCTTTGTTAGTGGAGATTTGGTATAGAGACATCTTATTAAACATTTTCCAGGAATAACAATACTGCTAGAAGTGTCTCTGTTTTATTATGCTTTTTCAGATTTTACTTTTATTTTCTTTCCATCCTTATTTGCACTTAGAATATTAAACGTTAAAAATAATGTATTTTAATCAAATTTCCCTAATTTATTCATTTATTTATGCAGTATACCTAATTTTTCTGTTGTTGACAAAAGCGTGCTCATGTCTCAGTTTTCAACTGTTTGTATCAGTAGCCATTTGCATTTCAAATGGTGTGCATTGTTTTGAATGCACTTTGTTTTCGCTAAACACTCTGTAAACCTCATGCATATATGAATTTTTGAGGTAAAATCAATATCTCCTTGACATGAATTTTGAGAGATATGAAAAGATTATATTTATCGAAACTAAGGAGACAATGGAACCTCACAACCTCTGAGGATGCCTGTCATAGATGTGGGAGAGAATGGCCATACAGCCTGGAAAACTCACAACAATCCAATGGATTTTTTTCCCATCCCAATACATTGCCATTAAAAAGATGCCCAGTAGGGAAAGCCAGGTTAAGTCTTTTATTCAGGTTGATGATCCAATCATGCTGTATTTTGTTGTTTTCTGCCTTCAAATCATTTCCCACTTATGGCAACCCTAAATTGGAGGGTTTATTTTATTAACACCTCAGCAAGCGAGAGTCCAAAAGTGGCAGGCTCAAACCCAGAACCTCAACCAATGGCTGATACCAAATGAGAAACTCCCCCCTGGGCACACAGAAGACTGGGCGACTTGGACGGCGCTGAACAGACTGCACTCTGGCACCACAAGATGCAGAGCCAACCTTCAGAAATGGGGCTACAAAGTGGAATCCACGACATGAGAGTGTGGAGAAGAGCAAACCACTGACCACCTGCTGCAATGCAACCTGAGCCCTGCTACATGCACAATGGTGTTGCAGCAACACCAGAGTCACTCCAAGTGGCCAGATACTGGTCAAAGGACATTTAATCAACTATCAAGCTTGCAAACTTTGTGTTTTTTTATCTGTTTGTTTGTTTTGTTCTGTTAGAAATGTAATACAATGGTCTGGTTGCCCCTGACACGATAAATAAAATAAATTGGAGGGTGAGATTCTGTGACTCAGCTAAGGTTATCCAATGGGCTTCAATGGCCAAGTGAGGCACCAAACCCTTGTTTCCAGAGTTTTAGATCAATGTTCAAACCACAATACTATGCTGGCTCTCCCTCGTGCTGTATATCACATTTAACATAGCAGGATTCCTTTCCAATAATAACAATTAAGTTTTTTTTACAAGGAGTATCTTGTATAGGGAAGAGGATTAGAGGATAATATTTTGATGTACAATGCGGTATCGTATAAAAAAACTAATAGAAAGACAGCTCTACCGTGTAAGCAAGCCTGGTAGACATTTTTTTTATCTGCCAGCTTTAACATTTGTCCTTAGTTGCCTAGCTAAACACAGCATTTCTAGAGCGACTGTTTGGCAGTAATTGGATATATAATGGCTTTTTCCCATGGCATGGCATTACAACTACAGTTCGCATGTGTGAAGAATATTGGTTTGTTAAACATCTGGACCATTTAGGATTGCTGTAATAGCATTTTCACATTTAGGCATGAGGCTGTTAAGCACAGTTGCAAAATAGCAGGTCAGGAACTTACATTGTTCCATTTGTTTGCTATTTGGGAAGCTTGTGAAGTTAGGTGACTTGAAATCAATCGTTTGTTATAAAGCCTTTATGCTTAGCAGCTAAAGCAGTGATCGTGGGGAAAATGCAGACTTCCTGCTCGGCATCATTAGGCAGATATGTTTTGAAATGCAATAGACAACTGCACAATGCAACCACAACAGGATAGATGGGTTTGTAGTGTGAGGAGTATTACTCTTGGTTTCTAAAATGTTTGAATTATCTTCCCAGCCCAGATTGGGGACCTGACATAACTATCGATGCAATAAAAAACCCGTGTCCCAATGTACAGCTTAAAAACAACCATGAAACATATTAAAGATATTATGACTGCTTAATAACAATAGAGAACAACTAGATATAGTCACAAGCTCTAAAAGAACTAATGAATGCTGAATGAAGGCTGGAGAATGCCAATGGGACATAAACAACAGTATTCATTATATCATTTCAACATGCAATCATGTAAAGATTGTTTTTAGCTATAGTACAAGATTTTTCAGCTCTCAAAAACCATTCAAATCCTTATCGATTCAGACATGACACATATATTTTCTTATTAAGGGGATGCATATTTTCTTGCTATTGTCATGTACTGAATGGGCAGCCTTTATTACACTGCCACTCCTAATTTGGAGTCCACCATATTTACAGATAATTACTACTCTTGACCTTGCAAATCTTCATTTTCAGAATCAAGAGAAAGAATATGAATGCATGTGCAGCAATTATCCCAATTAAAACATAGCTTACCACAGTATGAAGTGCTTACATACTGCAATTCTTTAGAATAGAGATAATCTGAGGTATTTGGGGAAAGTGGATTTTGGGACAACAGTTCCCATAATCTTCTAGACAGCATGAAACAATCTGCAGGGGCGCCAAACCAGATAGGCGATTCTAAGACCTATAGTCCAAAAAGTAGCTTTGGACTGAGGTACATACTGACGCTTCATTAAGGTAAATTATTACTACCTTCCACAGACAAATGAGCTGTTCCTATATGGACATCTAGGCACCCCCATCAGAATATGAAGAAATAAATAGGGGTCACATCTGAAGGCTACTTCTGAGGGTACCCAAAGCACCCCCAAATGAAGTAGAATTTCCTAGCACATTATATGCTAAGATAGAACACTGATGATCATTTCCTAATTTCTTGGAAGGTATACTATATATGATAGAGCAGGCACGGGCACACTTTCTAACTTGGGGGCTGCATGCTAGCACTCCCTGCTAAGAAGACCTGCTCCCCGGTAATTGATAGATGGATGGATGGATGGATGGAAGGAAGGAAGGAAGGAAGGAAGGAAGGAAGGAAGGAAGGAAGGAAGGAAGGGAAGGAGGAAGGAAGGAAGGAAGGAAAGAGAGCAGGAAGGGAGGAAGGGTGGAAGGGAAGGATTGAATAAATTCCGTTGTTGTTGTTGTTGTTGTTGTTGTTGTTGCTGTTGTTGTGTGTCTTGACCCTTTCATAGTGGCTTCATGGCAAGGTTTGTTCACAGTGGGATTGTCATTGCCTTCTTCTGAAGTGGAGAGTATGTGACTTGGACACCCAGTGGGTTTCCATGTCTCTAGAGTTGTAGACTCACACTATACCACACTATGCTCTCATAAATTTTCTAGTAGTCAACATAATGTTACAGCAGACATGCCATTTTCATGAAAATGCTGTTATTATCAGTCTAAGTCTTCTTGAATCAGTGTCATTTGACCATTTAATATATCTTCCTTTTTTAGTTTCTTTATAGGGTTACTTTTTTGTACTCTGGGTGTTTCCCAAGCCTAAAGATAACTATCTCTTATGTGTGGATGGTGTTGTTTCACTCACATAAATATTAACATACTAGCTAATAAGATCATTATTAGAATAGATCAATTCTTCTCAGGCTATCTGATGTGGGAACCTAGCAGCTATTCCTTTCCAGTGTGCCAGGGACCAGCATTGCCTGCTTGTTTCTTCATGAAAACTCATCAGGGCCATCAGCCAATGGCTTGAGGACTGGCATGGATCTCATGGACACCAGTATGGGTGAATAAATGGTCAACTTATGATTTGTTTTGGCAATCAGCTGGTTCAAAGAGAGCAAGACAATGTACGCACCGGTCTGTTGGTGGTGATCCAGTGATTCATGTGGAAAGCAACCATTAGAGATAACTGGACCTTTCAATAAAAATGTCAGAATGTTATCCACTTTCTCTGCTGAAGAAAACCTGGAAGCCTGCACAAGGGGATGAGAATAAACAAGAAGATGAGAATAAAAGAACCTGAGGATATGCACATTATTGTGTAAAAAAGGAAGAAGTAGTTAGCAAATGTATCTCAGGGACCTAAAAGATGAATGAATTGATGATGGCACCAACTTTCGTGCAGTAATATAGCCTACGCAGAATAACAGAATCATAGAGCTGGAAATGGGGCTATTCTGTACAAACTCATGCAATGTAGGAATACACAGTCAAAGCAATCCTGACAGATGGTCATCCAGCAATTTTATTAAAAATCACTCAGGAAGAGATTGCAATTTCTAAACCGTACAAATACATAATAAATAATGACTTCTATGTCATCATCTACAATACATTATGTGCTTATTATCAGCTTCAGCTAACACATCATCTGTGCCCTTTCATAGAATTGGGAGTCTAAGTGCATGTGCTGGTAGCCTCATAGAATAATAGAATCAAAGAGTTGGAAGAGACCTCATGCGTCATCCAGTCCAGCCCCCTGCCAAGAAGCAGGAATATTGCATTCAAATCACCCCTGACAGATGGCCATATCCAGCCTCTGTTTAAAAGCTTCCAAAGAAGGAGCCTCCACCACACTCCGGGGCAGAGAGTTCCACTGCTGAACAGCTCTCACAGTAAGGAAGTTCTTCCTCATGTTCGGATGCAATCTCCTTTCTTGTAGTTTGAAGCCATTGTTCCGCAACCTAGTCTCCAGGGAAGCAGAAAACAAGCTTGCTCCGTCCTCCCTGTGACTTCCTCTCACATATTTATACATGGATATCATATCTCCTCTCAGCCTTCTCTTCTTCAGGCTAAACATGCCCTCAAGTGCGCTGTACATTGGGCTACCTCTGTAACAAGTTTAGAACCTCCAGTTAGTTCCAAACAGGGCACCTAGATTGGTTACAGGTACATCCAGGAATGAGCACATCACACCAATATTAAAATCATTCCACTGGTTGCTGATTAGGTAAAGTATAAAGTGTTGATTATTACCATTAAAGCCATACAGGATTTCGGTTCAGGTTACCTACGGTATCACCTTCTCCACCTATACATTCAGGTCCTCTGGGAGATGTTTGCTGCAACCAGCTAAAACTACACTGCCAACTGTTACCCAGAGAACCTCTGCCAGAAGAGATTTGACAGCTAAACATGCTGTCTGAATTTTAAAGAGCATTAAAAATTTAAACAATGAATTTTAAATAAATATTTTCAAGTTTATGCATGCTTTGTGTTTTAATCATATTTTATGTCTTTTTAATCTAAGCACCTCTTCATGTGGGGCAATTTTTTTGGCAATTTCAGTTCTGCAGTAGTTTTGCCACAAAGCCTGCTGGCTCCCATCACACACTGGAGAAGTACTTCTGGCATGGCTCCATGGCAAAACGACTGTGGAACAGGAGTTGCTGCCAAAAAAAAAAAAAAAAAAAAAAGACACCAGAAGCAACAACACACGAGGCTTCCTGTGGTTGCATGGCCTTCAATTGGGCAAGCTGGCCAGCAGATGCTTCCCTCATGTGATAAGGCAGGGGGGAAGCTGGGACAGTGCAGAGCATGGCCTGGTGGGTTCCCACATTCCTGGCCATGGATCACCAGAATTGCCATGATTTGCATCTGAAGCTGTCCTATGTGAAGCTGCTTTGAGTAACCTCTGGGCTAGAGAAAGGCAGGGTAGAAATGTCTTAAGTAAGTAAGTAAGTAAGTAAGTAAGTAAATGCTGTACCTCATCCTGAGTTTTGGGATGTGGCGAAGTAATTCTTATTGTTGTTCTCCTGATTATGTAACTCTGTGTATAAGCTATGAATCAGAGGCACTAATAAACCTTGTTAATGCATTGCAAATATACATACCAGGACACTGGCAAGAGTTCCCAATTGGCATCAAGACCAATGTGCACTGGTACCATTATGCATTGATCTTGTTGTGCAATAGTCACTTTGCAGTTCTGCTATGCTCTTATAAAGCAACCGCAACCCTCTACTGAATGCTGACATTAGATTAAACGTCCAATTCAAATTCCCTCATAAATATGTCCATTTATGAAAATTGGACTCCCATACAGGAGTTTTATATAAAAACCACTATATGTGTATTAAATAAATAATAAATGCAACTTCTCCTTCTCCTAAAAATAGAACATATAGAGAGGAAAAGCATATACAAATATTTACACGTGCATTTGTTAATGAAGCATGACCAATTTGGTGAACCAAGTTAAAGGAGAACATCCACTAAAGGCATGTCAACGATTGCTGGAGGAATGGAGAACAGCTGCTCTACTTACTGTTGAAAAATGGAGCAGGAGGAGGAGGGAGTGCAAAATAGTTCTTAAAAATGAAACAACCACTTATAAAAAGAAGGGAGGAGTAATTTAGAGGAGATTGTCTAAATAAATTGTTCTAACATTTATTTCTCACTGGAACCAATACAGAGCTCATGTGTTATAATGCTCTACATCTGATATAAATATATATAAAAGTAAAGGATCATGACAAGGTATTTTTGTTGTTTTCCTTAGTCTGGGATGTGAAAATTGATAAAAAATAGTTATTTATTCATAGGAAATATAGTTTTGTTTGAAAAAAATGTAACAATGTGAAGATGGTGTCTCTTCAACAAGGAAAATGCATGTATAAATGTAAACCTGTCAACAAAATAGATCCAGGATTAACAATAAAGTTTATTTAAGTGTCTTATTTTAACTTACTATGTGGAGTATGATTGGGTCTTGTCAGGCCTTGTTGTTTTGTTTCTTATTGTGATATGGCCTAAGGGCTAATCAATAAAATTACTACTAAAAAAGTTTATTTACATTTTTCCAAATTACAAAATGTCGAAAAGACTTTAGGCTCTTAGGGCTTACTCTGACCTGAAAGACTGGTTTTTCTACTTTTTCCAGAAAGCTGTTCTTGCTTTTGCAGAAATGTGCCCTATCAAGGAACTCCACATGGATTGGACACCCTTCTGAGTTAACGAAGTGTACTTTTGCAGTTTGAACTCTGTTTGCAGCAATTGAAGTACAACCGAGGAAAGGCGGAGCGAGAAGAGATACTAGGCCATTACAAAAGGAGTTGAAAAACTGGGATAGCAGATGATTAATTGGGACATTAAGAGGGCATGCAAAGACCACACCCTATATGTCTTCTCTAGGATAATGCACTCTTCCAGTATATTTGTGTTTTCCCTTATTATAGCTCTCCACTACCCTGAAAACAGTGTCTCTGGGGATTACTTCTATCTGAAGTACTGCTGGACAGAAACACAATATTCTCAGTCTTCAGGGATGTGGGAATTTATATCACTTGGGTGAGAAATCCACTAACTATATTAAACCTTACTTAACTGGTGTGAGAAATCCACTATCTGTTTTAAACCTTACTTAATGGAACTGTCCAAAGTGCTGAATCTATCATCCCCCCCACATAGCATCAGTACTTTGGATGGATGATTATAAAGATTTTTTTTATAGCTATAGTTTGTACTAAAATCATCCCACTGCTTACCACTACTTCCATGGAGACCTAGAATTTGTTCAGTCCTAGTTTGAGAAAATCTTTTGAGAAGAAATTCTGCTTGAGTTGTAATGCAGCCAAACATTTCTGAACGGGAGATTAGGCATGAGCAATCAATGGTTCTAAATGTTTCTAAAGTACTTACAAAACTAGGGGGTGCTGGTTATTTGCTTCTACCTCATTGCTAAAGTTCTGGTGGTGAAAATTTGATAAATTTAACAAAACTTTCAAAATTTCATTATGATTTAGGCATTGGTGATTTTTATAACAGAACCAAGTAGGAACTGCCATTTATAACAAAATTTCAAAAGTTTTGTTAGAGTTCTGAAATTTTCACCACCAGAACTTTAGCAACACTGTAGAAGCAAAGCACCAGCACCCCCTAGTTTTGTAAGTACTTTAGAACCATGGAATGCCCATGCCTACTGGACATATATGAAGCTGTGAGGTCAGATTTTAGTTCAGCCAACTCAGCATTGCCTTTTGTGAGTAGCAGTCATTCTCTTCCATTTCAGGGAAATTGCTTTGACTAGTCTTAATGAAAAGGGGATACATAGGATTGAATACAGGACCTTCTACTAGAATCCTGCTCAAGTGAACTGTCCATCCTCCATAAACTCTATTCAGCAAAGCAACCTATAAACCCCACAATCTGTGGCTAGGAGGTTTGGGGAATTGCGACTGGGGAAAACTCGTGTTTCTAAGTTTTGATGCTGGTAGGCCCGGTAGTTTCTATTTTTGAAAGGTCGCTGCTGTTATGTGTCTTTTGAAAATAATTTCATTTTCTTGGTATGATTTGTTCAGAGGGGATTTGAAACCGCCTTCTTCTAAAGCCAATGATGTCTGACTTGCCCTGTGGGTTTCTATGACCAAGAGGCAATTTGAACCTTGGACTCTATTCACTTTACACAATTATAGCACTGTTATTCCCCTGTTGACTGCTATACAGTAGATTGGCAGCTAATGGAAGGACATTTCAAATTCTTAGCAAAAGCAGTCCAGTGCTTCACTAAACTACAAGCCTCGGGATTCCATAGGATGAAACCATGGCAGTTAAAATGGAATAATAACATCATAATTCTGCTATGTGACTGGGATAATAGGGATTCCAGTGTCATAGCCCAATATTCAAAAGAATATATCATGCTGACTGGAAGATTCTGAGATTTTTTTTTGAAAGAAATTGCTCATGAACAACAAGTTAAACATGAGCCAACTATGTCAGGCAGTGGCAAAAAACGCAAATGGGATTTTGGCCTGCATAAATAGGTTATCGTGTCTAGATCCAAGGAAGTTATGCTAGCCTTCTATTCTGCCTTGGTCATACCACACCTGGAATCACACTGTGTCCAGTTCTGGGCACCACAATTTAAAGGAGATATTGACAAGCTGGAATGTGTCCAGAGAAGGGCGACTAAAATGATCAATGGTCTGGAGAACAAGCCCTATGAGGAGTGGCTTAGAGAGCTGAGCATGTTTAGCCTGCAGAAGAGAAGGCTGAGAGGAGACATGATGACCATATATAAATATGTGAGGGTAAGTCACAGGGAGAAGGAAGCAAGCTGCCCTGGAGACTAGGACGTGGAACAATGGCTTCAAATTACAGGAAAGGAGATTCCACCTGAACATTAGGAAGAACTTCCTGAATGTGAGAGCTGTTGAACAGTGGAACTCTCTTCCCAAGAGTGTGGTGGAGGTTCCTTCTTTGGAGGCTTTAAACAGAAGCTTGATGGCCATCTGTCAGGGGTGCTTTGAATGCAATTTTCCTGCTTCTTGGCAGGGGATTGGACTGGATGGCCCACAAGGTCTCTTCCAACTCTACAATGTTATGATTCATGTTATTGTGAATATCTTTCAGACTTCAGCATTCTTCTCAAATTAACAGAAAGCTCATTTCCTGTCCCTAATGGATTTTTTAAAAGAATGCAATAAAGATTTTAAGAGTTGAGCAACTATGGAAGTTCCATCTTGCTTACCCTTTTACCCATGTACTTTCAAAGGAACAATGCTGTCCTAAAATGTGTGTTTGAAAGGAATTTACTACAGCCCTTAACCAAGTGCTAATAATGTAATGCATCATTTTTTATTAATCCTTTTGTTATGAGCGTAATGCCTTGGGCGGCAGACATGGTAGATTTGTCACAGGAAAATGAGACTGTCTGAATTACAAACACAGCTATTATTTTTGCTCTTGCTTTGCAATTACGATGTAGACATGTCAAGTGCACTCAGACCAGCCACTGTGGGACAAATGATATTTCAGGTCCTTTCCTCTCCTGCAATGGATTTCTCTCCCCCTCCCCCCATATTATGTGACATTGGCAGAGGCAGCCTGGTTACCAACCTGAAATATATAGAATAAGACATTTGCACAACCTATCCAAAACTCTTGAAAGGTCAAACAGCTATCATAGATACACACACTGTAACTGGAATCCCTTTCACTAGAAACCATACTGAATTAATTTGTCAGATAATGTCATTTAATTAAGGACTTTATTTGGGGATTCCTGAAGACTGGAAATAGCTGCCAGCATTGTTATAAGCAACTTGGGCTTATATCAATATTTACTTCCTGGAAAAGACCTAACCATTTACTTAAATCTGAGAGGAATTGCATATCTGACTATTTTGCTTTCTCCTACATTTAAAACAGGCTTAAACCAAGGAGCTTTTAATGCTGCCTATGAAAAAATGTGTGGGTTTTGGGGAAAACATTCTTCAAAAAAGATCTGGAGCAAACTTCTTTCCCATTTGAACTGGCCAAATTTACTAGGCACATACATGTTTGGCATGGAGAAGCCTTCTTATCATGCATAAGATGGGGAACCTCTGAAAAGAGAGATGGAAATCCTCATCCAGTCCTAACAGAGCTGAATGTGCAGGGATTCATGCACCAACATTTGAGAACAAAGTTGAGTGTTTACACTTAATCCTATTATGAGATTCCTCCTGGGAAAGGGCTTTAGAAAAGGCTATATGCCTTTTGAAAATAATTCCTTGTGTTCAGAAGTCCCAGATTCAGTTTCTAGCAATTTCACATAAGCTGGTGCAGATTTCTGCCTGAAAAGCTGCAGCATTGCAGTCAGTCAATGTAAGCCTTAATGAAGTAAATAGAGCAATAGTCTAACTTGCTTTAAGGTTTCTTTCTAAGCTCCATGTTTTACATCTCTTTGTCTGTGTATTGATCCATTCTTCCTCCTATCTGTTGGAAGTTAAGAGGCATCAATGTTTGGACGGAGTAATTAGTGACAGAGTGTCACTTGAGTTTAGTTCTGCCCTTTTTATTTCTACCCTCTGTTTCTTTCTTTTATTTATGTGTTTTGGCTCTTTCCTGCTTTACAGAGATAACTCTCCCCTTCTTCCAAAAGTTTGTTGATCTTTTATGTCCCTTTGTCTAGGAAGAGAGGATCCATGAGACTCCTGCCTCAAGAGGGCTTATGCCCACACAAGAGGGCCAACTTAACGATTCTTCTATTAAAAATATAGCTAATTTTATTTTACTTATCTCCATTTTCCTGGAGTCCCTGAAACAATAAATGTAACTTATTTTTTAAACTTCACAAGGGCATCTTGAATGCCTTCCTCCTTTGTATTGTTGGAGGCTTTCATGGCTGGAATCATTGGGTTGTTGTAGGTTTTTCAAGCTATATAGCCATGTTCTAGAAGCATTCTCTCCTGACTTTTTGCCTACATACATCTATGGCAGGCATTCTCAGAGGTTGAGAGATCTCACAACCTTTCAGGATGCCTGTCATAGATGCAGGCAAAACATGAGAGAATGTTTCTAGAACATAGCCACATAGCCTGAAAAACCTACAACAACCCTTCCTCCTTTATTTGTCTGCCACAAGCCCATAAAATACACATACTAAATATTCCAATACTATCAGCATTCATCTTTTCCCAACAATACCACCCTAGTTCATTCACTTCAGTATACTACAGTATAACAAGAACCATTGGTTGGAGTGCATAGCAGGACCTTTCTACCTAGTGCTTCCTGTTCTGTGGGATGATCTCCCCATCATCAGGGGGAGATCCAATTAGAGTTTCTATAGTCAGTTGAAAACTTATTCAACATACATTTCTTTGTTGTTTTGTTGGACTTAGCAATATACAGGCAACTTAAAGACCAACATTATATTTGATACAAGCTTTTGTAAACTCCAGTCAGCTTATGCCAAATAAAAATACGTTTGATTTTCTAGTGCTATAATATCCCTTGCTTTTTTCCCTACAACAGTGCGTTCAAGTGCAGTGGGCTAAACCGCTGAGCTGGTGAACTTGCTGACTGAAAGATCAGCAGTTCGAATCCAGGGAGCGGGGTGAGCTTTGGCTGTTCGTCCCAGCTTCTGCCAACCTAGCAGTTTGAAAACACGCAAATGTGAGTACATCAGGAGGTATCACTTCTGTGGGAAGGTAACACCACTCCATGCAGTCATGCTGGCTACATGACAGTGGAGTGTCTATGGACAACACTGGCTCTTTGGCTTAGAAATGGAAATGAGCTCCAGCTCCCAGAGTTGGACACGACTAGATTTAATGCCAGATGAAACCTTTACTTTACCTTAAGACAATAATATCATTGGGGTTCCTTGGCAAGGTTTGCCTTTGCCTTCTTCTGACACTGATAGGGTATGACTTGCCCAAGGTCACCAAATGGATTTCCATGGCTGAGTGGGGATTCAATCCCTGATTTCAACAGTTTTCATCCAATGCTCACATCACTACACCATGCGTCACCATTTCCACTTCTTAAAATGTCAGAAACAATGTTCTTAATGAAACATCTCTGTATTTTATGATTTTTATTAATTTGATCAGCACCTGGGATTTCATTAAATGGGAAACTGCATAGAAACTTTCTTAAATGATTAAATAAAATATCATCTTTAGATCAAGATGTGCATTGTTTATTCCACAGTGGCACATCTGTCCAGGCCTCTGTTTTATTAACTTAAAGCAAAGATCAGCTTACCTGACAAGCAAAGGCTATTGGATCAGTCAATTTCTGAAACATTGATTCAATCTCCCCAACTGTTGTGTAGTATTCAATCTGAGTTGTAGCTTTAATGACACCCGCACAGTAGACATTTACATTTACAACGCCAGCAGGAAAATCTGGTGAAACAGAAAACAGAAAAGATAGGAAGGAGAGAAAATAACAGAAAACATCTTCCCACTTTCTAATGCATTATGTACAATTCACATTCAGGAGACGTTTGAGTTATCCAAATTACCATGGCCCTTGGCTTTACCTACCAATCTGTTACATACTGATACTAAAAAAGAGGAGAACTTAATCTAAAATAATCTTTCTTTTTGTGGCTAATGTACTGGATATACATCCAGCAACCTAACTTCTAGGTGTACTTATCTATCTGATACAATCATATACTGTATGTTTGACCTGAAACATCTTTCCCCTAACATTTTGATAATCACATCATTCTATTGTTTTAATAGAAAGCTTCCAAACAAATCATATTTTGGGATTTAGCCAAATTTGGCTGCAAGTCAAAAGGGCAAATCAATACACTGGTATACTTTCATTACATTTGAAAATGAAAATGTATTTTCTAAAACATTATTATTTCAGAGAGATGCCGCCAGACATCTTGATTTGACTTATTCACTAATATGTCTGAATCCTGTATACTTCTGAATAACAGATGCTAGGTTCATAAGAGGGGGAAACATTACTGTTTCCATAATCAAGTTGCAAATTTCCCAGAAGCATCTGTCTGGATTAGATGAAGCTGTATTTTATCTATACGGGGATTTCTTCTAACTCATGGTCACTTCCTGCACATGTAATGTACTACTTTTTTTCTGTTGAATGTCACAAAGATAGATTCATAATAAATTTCATTACTGTTTCGTCTAGATTATTATTCCACCATGAAATCTTTTCATATAAATATACTGATTGGCTCATAAGCTTTTTTTATTTTGTGGTCAACTTTTTCCTATTGTAACAAAACAGCCAAAATGCTGGTGTAGGATGAATGGATTTCTTATCTCCAACCCACTGGAAAAACACAGCACTGCTAGTGGCAAAATGCTTTAGACATGTGGAAGAATATTGCTTCCACTCATTTGGGTGAGCTCAATTAGTCAACCACTAGGAGGATTTTTGGAAGGTGCACTTCCCCCAAGCAGTGGAGACCTTCGATTGCCATTGCATCACATCCCCTCACTTGTTATCTTGCATTTAGTGTGTTTTGGGTTGTGATTAGTCATTGAAGGCTCTGGTGGCACAATGGGTTAAACCCTTGTGCCAGCAGGACTGCCGACCAAAACGTTGGCGGTTCAAATTCGGGAAGCAGGGTGGGCTCCCATCTGTCAGATCCAGCTTCTCATGCAGAGACATGAGAAAGCCTCCCACAGGATGGTAAAACATCTGGGCATCCCCTGGGCAACGTCCTTGCAGATGGCCAATTCTCTCACACCAGAAGCGATTTGCAGTTTCTTGGAGGTGTCTACAGACAACACTGGCTCCTTCGTCTTAGAAATGGAGATGAACACCACACTCTGGACATGACTGGACTTAATGTCAGGGGAAAACCTTTACCTTTACCATGCTTTAAATGCCATGGTTCCATTCTATGGAATCCTACTATTTGGAATTCAAGAGTGGATATTTCAAATTTGGAGTCGGAAAGCTGTAATGCCTCATCTGGCTACACTAGTATGGCAATTGAAGTGAAATCATAGTGCTATGAAGTTGATCTGTTGGCAGAGAAATCATACTGTAAGTGGAAGCAATGAGCCATGACATCAAATTTCTCCAGGATGAAGAGAAATTCTCCAATGAGTTTTTAAGGAGTCAACTTAGTCATAAAAAGTAGCAGAACAGCTTCTTTGTTTAAATTCTTTTGCCAACACCAGTAGTAGTGTGAACACCTGTTTTTGCAGCCTTGCCACCATTTTGCATTTGTTTTGGGGTGCATATGCCTGTGGCTTTCACACAAAAAGAAAACAGTAAAAACATCTGACAGTCTGTGCATATTTAAAATCAGTTTCAGTGTACACTAGGAGGCAGTATTAGCATAGCAGGCACTGTCTCTGAAAGCAGGATGTCCACTGTACATTCTGAAAACAGCATATGTGCAGTGTAGCTTTCCATATATCTATGAACACTTTTGGTCAGGGCAGAAAGGAAGGCCCAAGTAGGGCTTCCAACACATTTCAGAGGAATCACAACAAATCTTGAAATGTAAAGGAGTGCAAATGAGAAAGGCGTTCTGTAATGCAGTAAAAAATAATAACAAAGAAAGATACAAGACGCAGGAAGAGAATGTGTGTAGAGAAGACAGAAACATGCAAACTAGCAATGATTGAGTATACACAATAGCCTGTGCGGTCAATGAAAGAATTGGTTACTGTGAGTTTTCCAGGCTGTATGACCATGCTCAAGAAGCACTCTCTCCTGACTGTTCACCCACATCTATGGCAGGCATCCTCAGAGGTTGTGAGGTCTAAAAAAATGTTTCAATACTCATTACTACATTGGGGGGGGGCATGGAGAATTGTTTCTGAAGTGTTTCTAAAATATCATTAGGGGTCTGTATTGAACTATAATGATATAATGAATTCTTCATTACTTTTCATTAAGTATTTGTGCAAGGTTGGGGAGTCCAAACCCCTTTATTCTGCCAAGTAGAAAAGCAAAGTTGAACCACCCCCCTCCCCAAAAGATGCCCATCCAACCTTGGAAATAATAATAATAAGAACAATAATAGGAAACCTACTAGGTAAACTTTTGAGTTACTGCCTCTCAACTTTGCATACCTCACAGGGTTGATTCAGCTCCCAATAATCCCCTTCTGTTATTTCAAAATCACTTTAGAGAACGAACACAGAGGAGGAGGAAGAGGAAGAATTCTGGGAAATAAAGTTTGGGAAGGTGAGGACTCATGTGGCAGAGAATTCAAGTTGGAGAAGTTAGTTTTAAAACGAAGCTGCTGCATTACCTCCAGATCAGCAGCGCCAGAGAATTCAAAAGGCCCTGCCCTAAACTACATCTCCCAGAATTCTGCTCTCTTCCTCCATTAAAGTTTCACTGTGAGTGTGGTCTCTGCCTCTCTCTCTAGGTCGGCCATGTGCGGAAAGGCTTCTTCCTTGCTCGGTCATCCAGCCAGGCAGCCCTCCCTCCCACCTTGCTGCCCCCTTTGGGGAAAAGAACAGAGCTTCTTCCTCCACTCCAGCCTCCTCCTCGGAGCCCTCTGGGGAAACCAAACCCAACCCTTTTGGAGGAGAAGTGGCACCTGCAATGGAGACATGGTATCCTTCTGGGACGCCTCGCGGGAATGGGCCTTGGTGGCACTGTTCTACAGTGGCTCAGGTCCTTCCTAGAGGGTCGCACCCAGAAGGTGTTGATGGGGGACAACTGCTCGTCCTCACAACCATTGTCTTGTGGGGTCCCGCAGGGTTCAATACTGTCCCCCATGTTGTTTAACATCTACATGAAACCGTTGGGAGAGATCATCCGGAGTTTCGGGGTGCGGTGTTATCTGTACGCAGATGATGTCCAACTCTGTCACTCCTTTCCACCTACTACTAAGGAGGCTGTTCAGGTCCTGAACCGGTGCTTGGCCGCTGTGTCGGACTGGATGAGGGCTAACAAATTGAAATTGAATCCAGACAAGACAGAGGTACTCCTGGTCAGTCGCAAGGCCGAACAGGGAATAGGGTTACAGCCTGTGTTGGACGGGGTTACACTCCCCCTGAAGACGCAGGTTCGCAGCTTGGGTGTGATCCTGGACTCATCGCTGAGCCTGGAACCCCAGGTTTCGGCGGTGACCAGGGAGCATTTGCACAATTAAAACTTGTGCGCCAGCTGCGCCCGTATCTTGGGAAGTCTGACTTGGCCATGGTGGTCCACGCTCTGGTTACATCCCATATAGATTACTGCAATGCTCTCTATGTGGGGTTGCCTATGAAGACTGCTCGGAAGCTACAAATGGTCCAACGATCGGCAGCCAGGTTGTTAACAGGAGCGGCACTCAGGGAGCACACCACTCCTCTGTTAGCCAGCTCCACTGGCTGCCATCTGCTACCGGGCACAATTCAAGTGCTGGCTTAGCCTATAAAGCCCTAAACGGTTCGCCCCACTTACCTCTCCGAACGCATCTCCACCTATGAACCGACGCGGACATTAAGATCTTCCGGGGAGGCCCTGCTCTCGGTCCCGCCTGCATCACAGGCACGGTTGGCGGGGACGAGAGACAGGGCCTTCTCGGTGGTGGCCCCTCGGCTATGGAATGCCCTACCCATTGACATCAGACAGGCCCCTTCGCTGCTGGCGTTTCGAAAGAAGGTTAAAACCTGGCTCTTTGAGCAAGCGTTTGGCTAATCAGCGCAATCGAACATAGGATGACGGTAAATTGAACATAGGAATGGCACAAGGATTATGAGACTGGATTTTGCTTTGTGATCGAGGCATTATGAATGATTAATTGTGTATTTTGTTATTGTGTATGATGTGTTTTAATTGTTATTGTTGTGTTAATTTACATTGTGTAAACCGCATTGAGTCGCCTAATTAGGTTGAGAAACGCGGTATAGAAATAAAAGCAAAAAAAAAAATTTACATGACTTACATAACTCATCCAAGTGAAGGTTGCTAACTCTAACAAAAGGGACTGAAGGCTAAGAGACAGGCTGAACGCTTGCATGGTTGTGGAAGTTTCATAGAGCAAATCTACAATAACCAAATCTACAATAACCACTTAAGTCATTTTCAAGCCAGTAGTGAATAAACTGGTTTGACTGTGCAGGTGATTATGTAGAAGTTCTTGGAACCAGTTTGACGCCCACATGGTTTTTACACAAACCACAGAACAGTGATGTCCACTAAGGGCTTTCTTTTGCATGCTTTAATGGGAGCCACCACAATTTGAAGCTTCATTAGGCTAAACAAATAAACAAACAAAAACTTTGAAGCTTGTCAGATCCCTTCCCCAAGCATAATGTAAAAGAAAATGGGGTCAAGGTTTGGTCTTGAAAGTCATGTCTTTGCACCGGAAAGTGTGGTGGGGAGAAAGGGTCTGCAGAAAAAAGAAAACGCTATAAAAAGGCAACAATATACATTCCAACATTTCATAGATGACAACCAAGACTTATATGGCCATGCAACATTAGAATGTTGTCAAGATGTCAAATGTTATAAATGAGGATCAAAAAACCAGAAGAGGCTGCAGTAGTTTGATATTGCCTGAGCTTCTTGGAAAGGGCAAGACACTTCTCTCTGCTAAGTTTATTGAGTCAACTTGTTCTGGTACGGCTGTACCAGGAGCTCCAACTTTATTTGCTTTGTATTAAAGGTTTGCTTGCAGTCCAAGGTTTCAGGGACTCTGCAGAAGGGTGGCTTCCTTTGGTTGCAGTCATAGGGCAAGTCACCTGTCCATCATCATTAAGTTTTGGTCCCATCCCTTGCTCAGGGCAATTGGGAAGGGAAGGGAGCAATTTTTAGTTAGTCTCAGCAAGGAAAGCTAATGTACAGGACATGTGCAAGCTTCCCCTGTACAAAAGCTTCAACCCTTAAGACTTTCCGAGGGAAAACAGTCTTAAGAGCATCCAAGACTTTCCGAGGGAGAACAGTCTTAAGAGTCTCCAAAGATTTCCAGGGAAACAGCCCTAAAGACCAAAGAACTCCAGCTGGAGAACATCTAAGCCTTTACTGGTAGGTCCACTCGGCATTCGAGAAGCAGTTCGACCCGGTAGCAGAGCCCACATCAGTAAGGGTTATATTACAGTCAGCCTGGGAGAAGTTAAAAAGGGACTTTCCTTTAAAGTAAAGAAGAAGTTATTGAAGACAGTTGCCTGTCCTTCGTGGGCAAGTTTAGGAAGCTACCAGTTGCATAAAAGCCTGGAATCATTTGTTTATCTTTCTGAAGACAAGAGAAGTTTCTGTTTGATTGTTCATTAATAAAAGACTTTGTTGTACTTCACAAGCCATCTAAAGATTATTTGTGGTGGAAAACCTCTGAGAACTTCTCCTTGCTCCCGCTGGGCAAAGGTTGCACGTCCTGTTCTAAAGAAAATTCTTTACAGGCCCAGTGCATGACAGAACACAACTAGTTTGGCACTTGGAACTCAGTTTGCAGCAATTGAAGTAAACTGTTTATGAAGGGAAAAGTAGGAAGTGAGACAAATTGAGACACTTTAATGGCCATTGGAAAAAAATGGGGCACCCTTACTGAATAGCTGTATATATTACTTAAGAAGAATAGGAATGTCCAGATCCCTAATTCATGTACAGATATTGATAGCAATTTGAATCTCTCTCCTTTTGCTGTGTAGTGCCCAAGGGCTCTTTTGAAAGAAGGAAACAATGAATCACAAAAAGAACATTGTGGCCATTAAACTTCAAAGGAAGAAAAATGATTGCAGAACTTAATATGAATAATTGTCAAATAAATGACCAGAAAAGGCTTTTGCTATGTGAAGTGGGAAAACAGTCTTCTAAATCTGATGCAGAGAAATATGAGCCCTTTACCTATTAGAGTGGGAATTGATTGAGAATAGCAATCTGTGACTAATCAATGATACTTTAAAGACTGTTCACCTGTCATTTTATCAAACCAAAACAACCCAATAAATCCAATTTTTCAGAAATCACAAGTTTTAATGGTAGTGTATTAATATACTGCGAGTATGAGCAAATCCAGGACCAGGGGCTGAATTCGGCCCCTTGGACTCTTTTCTCAGGACCTTTCTCTCACATACACTGTATTATCTTCCTTCCTTCTCTCCTTCCCTTCCTTGCTTACCTCCCTCTTTCTCCCTCCTTTCCTTCAACCCTTCCTTCCTTCTTCCCTCCCTCCCCCCTCTCTTCTTCCTCCCTCCCTCCCTCCCTCCCTCCCTCCCTTCCCTTTTGTCTTTCCTCCCTCCCTCCCTCCAAGTAAAGAGGGAATATGAGAACCACGTTTCAAGATTTAAAAGGGTGTCCTATTGAGGAGGACAGGTAAAACTGACTTTCTGCTGCTCTAGAGACCAAGGCACAAGGAGCAGTAGTTTTAAATGGCAGAGAAAGAGATTTGACTGAAAATATTAGGAAGAACTTCCTGAGAGTAAGAGCTGTTGCAGAGTGGCATAAGCTGCCTGGGGTGTGGTGGAGTTTCCTTCTCTGGAGGCTTTTCTGCAGAGGCTGTCTATCAGGAGTGCTTTGATTGTGCCTTCCTGCATGGGAGAGAGTTTGATTGGATGGCCCTTGGGGGTCTCTTCCAGCTCTAGGATTCTAGGATTCTGTACCAAGAGTGGGCAATACAGAGTCTAATGAGTACACTTTCTCTCCCATCCACCATCTCATCCTGACCAAGGCCAACTCTTTTGGGATCCAAACGTTTCCTGTTTTTCCTTTGCTTTCTGACTTCGAAAAGAGGAAGGGGAGAAAAGGGCAGGGAAGGGATTTGAGGAGAATCCCGGCCTGCCCACCTTACTCTGGCCTGCCATGTGGCCCTCAAGATAGTTTGCCCATGCCTGATATAGTGGCCCATAATAACGAAAATTCATGAACATGGAACATTTTTGATGGAAAACAAAACTCAGGGGTCACTAGACAAATGAAGGGGGGAAGGAGTCCATGGGTTACATTTAAATATTTGAATTCTTTGGTTCTCTTACCTAAAGCTTTCATATACCTGACGTGCTGATTCCAAAAGTCTGGCTCAGTCCTGATCCATTCCATTTCTGTTATGAACTCAATTACTACAGGCTCACCAGGGACTTCATCTTGCAAGAGAATGAATATTTCTCCAGGGCTCTATAAAGCAAGAATTAAATCCAGTTATCCCTTCATGTCAACAAATAAAGTCGTATTAAAATTACAATATTTTATTATTGTTATTTTAAGCATTAACAGGTATGTTTAGTCATAGTAAGTTATTTTATACAGACATTTAATTGACACCATGGTAGCTATGAGAAGCATCAAAACCATTGATCCAACACATGTAGCAGGTTGCGTCTGGATTTCACTTTGCAGACTGCATCAAAAAGACATTGCTGGAGTTTTTGTCTTGGGGCCTCATAACACTAGAGAAAAAAATCCACTTAAAATCTGGTTTCTGCCTCCTGCAGAATTCTGGAATTTGTAGTTTAGGGAGGAGCTTTTAACAGCCTCACTAAATAACAAACCCCAGAATCTGATGGCAGAAACTGGATTTTAAGTGGATTTTTTCTCTATTTTTATCCAGTTTTGCTGTTAAGCACTTGTTATGCAAATTATATCTGCTGCTACAGGCATTCCTATCAGTTTCAGATGTCAAGTTTGTATCATGTCTACTTTTCATGTTTGGTAGTGAGAAAATGTTAGTCCTGGTAGGGTACATTCCCAGGGACACTATTCAGGACTGTGACATCTTGGAGCATTGTGCTAGTGCAGAAATAGTTGTGCAATTTATTGTGTCCTCTCAAGAGATTGCACAATAGTATAGTGTAGTCTAGTGCAAAATTTTGCAAAAACAAAGGCACATCCTTCAAGCTCCCACTTTTGATTTGGTGGCTAGAGGAACTATCTGACTACATTGGAGAAGCTCAAGATCTTGACATGAGTTGTACATTCCTCTGCACAATTATGGCATCTGGTATAGCTACACTGTGTGTGTTTTAATGCTTCACTAAATGTGTACGTCTTGGTCTAAGAATAATTGATGCTTCATTAATAAATCAGTAGATCTTACCTCACATGATATCCTTGTTGGCAGCAATAGGACTGCTGGCTTTTCTGAGGTTTCCAGGGTCTTTTCTGTTTTCACACTCACATCTTCAAGCTTCAAGCCATTTTTAAAGTCCAAAGGCAAGAGTTCATAAAGACCTGCCAAAGAAATAATACTGAGTCCCAGCAGAGATTGATTCCAATAAGTGAGCATAAGATTGCCATGCAAGCAATGCAAAACTTCAGACTGTGTTCACGATTGTAAGAGTTATTAATGAGCAAGAACACACAAAACGGGGAAGAGTTTGTTTTTAACAAAGGACCTCATGGCAGTTTGAAATTTAAAGTGTCCTATTTGGTGTGAGCTTTTGAGGATTTGTCTGTGCCTAATATAGAAAACATAGCTAGCACGTCCACAAGGAAACTTTAGCTAGAAAGTTTACAGTTAAGCCTGCGAACATGTGAATATCTAATAGAATAACACCCTACCTTTGAGGGCCCTTCCAGACAGGCGCTTAATCTGGAGTAAGAAAGTGAGACTAAAAACCCTGGCACTTTAAGGAGAATCCTCACATGGAGACATTAGTCTTGGGAAATGGTCTCATGGCATCTAGAAAGGTTTGGATAATACTGATTGAAGGGAACCGCAAAAGGTACTGGAAACCACCTGAAGTTTTCTTTTAGTTTTGTTTCTTATTAACTCTCTGAGGGCCCTTCCACACAGCCATATAACCCAGAATATCAAGGCAGAAAATCCCACAATATCTGCTTTGAACTGGGTTATCCAAGTCCACACTGCCATATATTCCAGTTCAAAGCAGAAAATGTGGGATTTTATTCAGCTGTGTGGAAGGGGCCTCAGTTCAAAGCAGATATTGTGGATTATCTGCCTTGATATTCTGGGTTATATGGCTGTGTGGAAGAGTCCTGATATGTGCTGCACTTCATAAGCATTGATGCAGATATAACAAAGTGCACACGAGCAGATTTCCTGGCATTGTCTCTCCTCACTCTTCTGGTGCCCTCTTGAACCTGTTTCCCTTTGGGGTCATTTGCCTCCCATGCTGGTACCCATATTGCAAATTCAAGCCCTGTTTAATTTCAGAAATATGAGAACAAAGGAATGGCTGGAAAGAGTTCTCATAGGAATTGCTTTCCTTTGGTGCTTTCATTTGGCTTCATCTGTTTACACTCCTCATCGGCCGTTTTGGGATTATAAAATGAGGATAAGCGCTGGAGCAGTCTACATCAGTGTATTGCAAAGAACCCATGTTTTTTGGGAGGTGCAGGGATATACAGGGATCCGTAACCACACATTTTTTGCCCAATCGCGGATTTTAAGCGAAACTTTTTATTCACATGTTTTTCATGTCATGTCATAATCCAGCACGCATTTTTGGTGTGCGTCATCTAGTCACCTCATCCTTTTATCCCACTTTCTTCCAGAATTGAAGGCCTGAGTAGAAGGGGCCTGAGTAAATAGGCAGAAGTGCATAGTAAGTTTTATTTGTTTGGACTCAGATAATCCAATTTCTGTTTATTTGGGAAAATGCCATTTCAAAGTCATTTCACCAGTTCATTTTTACAGCATAGAGCTAAAAGCAATGATACAGCAGTCCAAATTGCTTTAGACTGACTGAAATGAAATACTGAGGAATATGAGTTAAAGAAAGAGTTTCTTGTTGTGTGCCTTGAGGTTTCCAGGTTATGGAGAACCTAAGGTGATGCTATCATTGCCCAGGGTAACCTACTGGGTTTTCATGGATGAGGGAGGATTTGAACCCAGGGGTTCATCTACACTGTACGTTTATGCAGTCTGACACCACTTTAACAGCCATGATACAATGCTATGGAATCATGGGAGTTGTAAATTGGCAAGGTATATAGCTTTCTCTACCAAAAAGTGCTGGTGCCTCACCAAACTGCAACTCCCATGATTCTGTAGCATCAAGCCATGGCAGTTAAAGTGATGTCAAACTGCATTAATACTGCAGCGTAGATGCATCACAGCTCTCCAGAGTCATAGTTGAACATTACCATGCTATGCTGTCTCTCTAAAGAGAAAGACATATAAAATTCAAAGCATCGGCACAATAAGCAGTAAAATGAATAACTGCTACAGCAAATATATGCAACAGAAACTGGGCTAATATTTGTCTACCATTGTACATAAATGCAACTTGAGATGCTTTAGATGTGAAGTATACCAAGATATATTTCTCAAGAGCATGCCAAACAAAACAATTTCAGACAACAGTTACCCTTTCCGATACACGATCATTCTCAGCAGAAGTACCTGAAACCACAAGGGGATTTGACCACAGATTTTTCTATTTAGTTCCCAGCTCAAAACACAGCTGACGCATCATTAGACACTGCTAATGAGTTCAGATGCTTGAATCCTACAAGAAAGGACGTGCATTTATGCACCCATTATTCAAAGTGCTACTCCCACAAGGCACAGCCTATATGGATCAGCTATAGCAAAAAGAGAGCAATTATGTACGAGGCTTGTGGGAGAGCACATATCTGAAGGTGAAAAACGGCTTTATTTTTTCATTCACATTTAGAAATCATGCTGACAAAGCTCATAGAATAAGATAAAAAGTCCCAAGTCTGCAGTTATTTTGCCATTAGGACTGTAATATGTTTAGCTTTAATATAGTTTGAAAGCCATTTTGGTAAGAGCTGATAGTGGTTAAGTAATTCTGCATAACATAAAGAAAATAGTCTTGAAAGACCAGAAATAAATACACATAGGAAGTTGTCTATGATAGTGGCCAGGGAAATGGTTTCTTAAGGTAGATCCTGGCTTCTGATTTTGTCCCTTTGGGGAAAATTCAATGGGACTAAAAACTTGTAGACTCAATTTACATTTGCAGAATAGCAACTTGGAAATGTTACTTGTTTTGGATCATAATGTCCAGAGACATCCAGCCAACACAGACAATGGCCATGCCGGTTAAGGGATTTTACAAGCCGGAGTCCAAAAATCTATATATATAAAAATCCTCTGTGCGTAATGAGTACCTTAAAAACAAAAGAATCAATGAACGAAATCACACCAAATTTGACAACAAAACGTCTCACAACACAAGGAGTGACCATCACTCAAAAAATTATGATTTTGTCATTTGGGAGTTGTAGTTGCTGGGATTTATAGTTCACCTACAATCAAAGAGCATTCTGAATGCCATCAACGATGGAATTGAACCAAATTTGGCACACAGAACTCCCATGACCAACAAAAAAATACTGGAAGGGTTTGGTGGGCATTGACCTTGAGTTTGGGAGTTGTAGTTCACCTGCATCCAGAGAGCACTGTAGACTCAAACAATGATGGATCTGAAGCAAACTTGGCACAAGCACTCAATACGACCAAATATAAACACAGATGGAGTTTGGGGGAAATTGACCTTAACATTTGGGAGTTGTAGTTACTGGGATTTATAGTTCACCTACAATCAAAGAGCATTCTGAACCCCACCAACAATAGAATTGGGCCAAACCTCCCACACAGAACCCCCATGTGGGCCACAGCAACGTGTGGCAGGGGATGGCTAGTAACTTTTATAACTCTGCAGCAGGACAGAATATAGAAAGAAAATTAACTTGGGCAAACTGCTATACACAATGTATAAATATAGGCCTACAAAGCTTACATGGTATATAGTTCCCATGTCAGTAAGGTAGTGAATCCACTAATTTTTATTCCAAACTTGAAAGCACTGAGCCAAGATGGTAAACTCATTTTTGAAATATGGTTCAATCATATGGGTAGTTTTATTAAATTTACAACTAAAACTGACTCATTGCTTTACTGACCCAGAGTGTGGACACAATTGAATTAATGCAGTTTAATACCACTTTAACTGACATAGCTCAGTGCTATAGAATTATGGGAGGCATAGTTTTACAAGTTCTTTATCCTTCTTTCTCAAAGAGTGCAGTTGTGTCACCCAACTACAACCCCCATGATTCCATAGCATTGAGCCAATGCAATTCAAAGTTGTGTCAAACTGCATCAATTGTACTGTGTAGATGCACCTTTGTTATTACTGAACCAAGACTGAACCAGGACAAAATATTTAATGGGAGACAGCTCATAATGAAAGCTACCTGCACAAGACAAATGTTAAAGATATTTATGATACATTTTGGATGTCTACAAATCACTAGGAAAATTGATTAAGCAACCACAACAGAAGGATCTACTGCTGAATCAAGACTCATGGAGAAAGACTCAGGCTGATCTGTGTCTAGGTAGCATGTCTTGGCCAGGTTTCATCCTTCTTGTGTCTTTCCACTTGAATTAAGGTGTGGGTGGACTTCCCTTCATGCATGGACATGTATTGAAGGAAAGGCAGTCAGAACAGAAGTTCTGAGCCAAAGATCACCTCATAACATTCAATAAGTCATTGGAACCAGATATTTAGGAGGACTATGGAATCAGATAAAGGCATTAACTCCACACTGTGTTGGAATTCCTCAGTATTTTCCCCCCAGAAAAATGACTCCTCTTGAGTTCTCAAAGTTGTACCTTTCACAGGGAATACACTAGGAGGTCCATCATTTAGTCCTCCCTCCCAAAAAACACAATCAGTCCAAAGGAATCCCCATTCATATCGCTGCAACAAAATTCCAGAGAATCTAGTAGAATTGAAGCTCAAAAAGATGGATCAACAAGTTTTTTGTGCCCAAGTGTCATATACTATGATATGTGCTAAGTTGGGTGGATATGTGCATTTTCTTTCTCTTCCTGCCCATCTCAGCCTGGGATGAGACAGACAGAATTAATTTCCATGCATGTTGATGCCAGCCATCACATATTTCCCAGCACCAATCAGGTGATAGTAGAAAAGTGCATGATTTCAAGGATGAAAGAGGCAAAGAAGCTTGCTGTCTATGTAGTGTCTCTACCTACTGCTCAACTAGTCCAGTGGTAAGGGGGAAATTGGCAGCTATATTTGTAGATCCACCCAATCTGCTCAGGAGACAACCATGACCTATATTTTGTCCATTCGCACATGCGCCATAGAACAAACCTTTGCAAAGTTATAATTTTGATCTACAATGTCCAGAATGCCATGTCCATTGACCATTTCCTTTTGCAGGAAAAGGCTATTACTATATGCTTACATAGTAGAATTGTCAATTTA